GTTCGTTGATCGTTTCTAGTAGTAATTAATGTCGAGATGTTAACTAATTGTTATCTTAGCAACACTCCCCAACATTAATATAGAGATAGATTAAGGGAAGAATTAATATTCCAGGGAAGAAGTTAAGAAAATAACTCACAACTTTAATAATCAACAAGCTTCAAGAGCAACACCAAGAAATGAGAGTTTAGCTCCTCATTTGGAGACCAAACATGCTATAAAAATATAAAAGAAATACTATTCTAAACTGAGCTTAAGAGTATGGAAGGAGTGATTATTTGTGAAGGAAAAATGTGCTATTTATAGATGTTTTTCAACACCTTGGGCCGGGTACCCGACTGGGTTAGGTACCTACCCGACCGGGTCTGGTCAAAATCAGATATCCTCCACGTTCCGGTGATCTTCAGCACGTCGTTTTGTCCCGGGTCAAGTCAGACCCGACCGGGGCAAGTAGAGGACCCGACTGGGTCTAGTAGTTTCCTGTGATGCTTCGGTTTTTAAATCAGACCCGACCGGGTCAAGTGTTCCACCCGGTCGGGTATTTGCTCCTGGGACAGTCAAAACTCCTTTTTCTTGACTTAAAAGTCCTCCTTTTCAACACCACAAATCCTAACTATACTTTACAACTTATAAATGAAAACTAAAATACAATTACAACTAAAATCACACAAATGTTTTACAAACTAAATAAAACGGTAAACAACCCACACAAATCAAACATAAAAACATACATCTATGCACTACTAATTAGTGCATATCAATTATGGATGCTATATATGAGCTAGAGTTGAAGATCTTATGCTTCCAATTTGGCTTTTATTGTCACCGGAGGTCTTGCTTCCAATTTGCAAATATACACTATACTCTTGAATTTCTTTTTCCCATGTATAAGCTTATTATTTTATTCAAGTTGAAAAGACAGTCTTTTTACACCATAATGTTCTCCCTTCCTCCCGAAAAAATTCACCGGATTGACTTTTTCTTAGTCAATTGCAATTAACTTTGACCAATTATATTTTTAATACGAAATTATTTAAAATATGCAAATTATACTCCAGTATCAAACAAAATGTTCTTAATCAAAATATTTTCATAAAATCATACTACATAGAATTTATAAATTTTATACAATTATTATAATAATTGAAATCATTATCCAAAGTATGTCATCATTGATCAAGAAAAGTCAGTATATGGTGAACATTTTCGGGATGGAGGTTGTATTATTTAAGACTTCTACAAACTCCTCAAAGTTAACATAATAGTAAAATTTTCTTGTCTCTCAAATAATTGACTGACATGTGGTCATGTTGCTCGAAGAAAGAAAAATATAGAACACAAAACTGCATGTTCTAGAACTTGCTGTCGATTCCGGTTCCTCAATAATCAATATTCAAGGAACCGACCGCTGACCATAATCACAGTTCCAAACCGTCTATGCCCCGGTTCCATTTCCGATTCTAATTCCGGTTACATTGGGAACCACGAACAAGCCTATTTATATATTGTAACTAAACCACCGATTTTTTTACAGAAATTGTGTGGATTTCGGTTGTAGCGATCGTCGACAAGTTGCTATTCTGAGCAAAATGTACACATTCTCTTGCTTGCTTCTTGTAAGATTTACCCCATCCTTCGCGACTTGGTACAAATAACTGTCAAAAGAATCACATTGGACATTTGTCTAAGCCCACAATGCGCTAAAAAACTAGTTAATTGTATATGTTTATATGGTTTGTTTTGTTGCTTATATGTTTTTTTGGACGTTTATAAGAAGCACATTTAAATACCCATTCTGCATGGTCCGTACATAATGGATGAAGAGAGTAGTTCTGGGTGAGAAATCGAGAACTAGGATGCCCAATAAAAAAACGGGTAACGTATCAATCATTCTTTTGATTGTTCCATGACATTTTTTCTATTTTAATTTTCATTTAAATAATTCAACTACACTATTTTGATTGATGCATGCAAACACATGTATAGTACCTTACTACCTTATGCATAAAGTTAACAGTTTAACACCAAAAATTTTAAAGTAATAAAGTAATTACACATCATCATAAAGGAAAGTTAACTGCCATATTTAATAAGTACTCTGGTATGTAATTATAGTTTATACTCCGTATCAACTAGGGAGAGTTGTTCTGAGCAGAAGAGGAAGTGGAAGGCGGAGGGTTGCCAGGTGACGGTTCAAAAGGGAACAGAGGGAAAGGAAATGGGAAGAACGGCGCCGGAGGTGGCGGTGGAGAAGGAGATGGAGTGATTCCCGGAATGGGTGGGAACAATGGAGGGAACACCGAAGCCGGCGGAGTGGGAGGCGATGGAACAAGCGGCGGGAACATCGAAGGCGGAGACGAAGGAGGTGGCGGGAGAAGTGGTGGAAATATTGAAGGCGGCGGGGATGGGAAGAGCGGAGGGAAGATCGGAGCAGGCGGAGAAGGGATAATAGGTAGAATTATGGACGGCGGCGGCAGTAAAGGGTTGGGTGGTCCAAAACTCCAAGTAGGTATATCATTTTTAATTTAGACTTAAGTAATTCAATTGCAACATTCTGATTGGTCCATGTGGACAAAGGTATGATATCTTTTTGGTAACATAGAATCTACCATTTGGGTTTTCATGTCAATGATGTTAAACTTTGATCGATTATATATTTATACACACACGTATTTATAATTTAAAAAAGTCCTTTATCAAAATACTATAGATAAAAAATATAGATATATTAATTTTTACATAAATATACTACATATTAATTAAAATAATGGATCAACGTTTATCATCTTTTATTGAAAAAATCAAAGATGACTAAATAAAAAGAGACAGATGTAGTATAAAGAAGTGAAGTTAAGCTAGTGATTAATAAATTGTAAATAAAGTAATAATTATTGGAAAAATGTGTTAAAATTACATTAAATGATCAATACGCAATTGTGGACACATAGTTTCTTTGTTTTTAAACGGGAAATGATATTAATTCAATTTCTTTTGAGGATCATTATTCATTACTAATATCATTAATAAAAAATGTTATCATTGTTATGCGTTTATATTTTTATATCATAACTTTATCGCTTTTGTTCGAGTACAAAATATGATTCTTTTTTGCATCTTTGAAATGTAGGAGTTACTTAATGGATGTTTTCATATAACAGGTGCGACTTTAAATGGTTAAGCCATATGCATGTTTATAGGATTATGGATGCTATATGAGCTAGAGTTGAAGATCTTATGCTTCCAATTTGGCTTTTATTGTCACTGGAGGGCTTGCTTCCAATTTGCAAATATACAGTGTACTCTTGAATTTCTTTTTCTCATATTTAGGGCCTGTTTGGTAACGACTACAACGGCTGCATAGGCTGAAAAGACCTAAAAGGCTGAATGTGCTGAAGTGAAAGTGTTTGGTAATATATATGCTGACTGAAATGGTTGATTGAGTGTAAAATTACTATAAGGGGGGCTTGTTTATATTAAATATATGGGTGTGAATTTTAATTTGCTGGATTATAATTACATGAGTATAATTAAAACAACTTGATTAATTATCACTTTGGATTTTTTTACACGTGTTTTCCTGAATATGCGACATTAGTATTAATAAAAAGCTCACATACACTTAAATTACAATAAAACCAAACAAAAAATACAGACAAGTATTTATTGGAGTTAACAAAATTTTACTTCAGAGTCCAAAAACAATAGAATATACTCGTAGACCACTACGTGAACAACCGGCTTTTGATCCGGAGCTTTGTTCTCAATTATAGGCAACTGAAAACAGCGTATTTCAATTTAGAAGGGTGAAAGGAGTCTTTTTAATCTCTAACAGTACAATAATAAAAAACAGCTGAAAAAGTAACCTTTGTGTAGATTTTTCAGCTGATCATAAAAATCAGCCCAAGTAGCTAATTCAGCAAGTGTGTGGGGATTTTTTTTTATACTTTCAGGCTTATAAGCCCACTTTGAGAGCTCCAAACGGCCTCTTAAGCTTATTATTTTATTCAAGTTGAAAAGACAGTCAATTTCTATTTACATCATAAAGTGGAAAAGATTCATCAAAATGACTTTTCTGAATGAATTGCAATCAACTTTGACCAATTATATTTTTAATACAAAATTATTTTGAATATGCAAATTATATCAAAATGTTTTCATAAAATTATACTACATAAAATTTACAGAGTACAAATTTTATACAATTATTATAGTAATTGGAATTATTATCCAAAGTATGCCATCATTGACCAAGAAAAGTCAATATAGTGAGCATTTTTCGGGATGAAGGTTGTATTATTTAAGACTTCTTCAAACTCCTCAAAGTCACAACATAATAGTAAAATTTTCTTGTCTCTCAAATAAGTGACTGACATGTGGTCATACTACTTGAAGAAAGAAAAATATATAACACAAAACTGCAGGTTCTAGAACTTACTGTCGGTTCCGGTTCCTCAATATTCAAGGAACCGACCGCTAACCATAATCACAGTTCCAAATCGTGTATGCCCCGGTTCTGTTTCTGATTCCATTTCCGGTTACATTGGGAACCAGGAACAAGCCTAATTATACTCCGTATATTGTAACTAAACCACCCTTTTTTGTAGAAATCATGTGGATTTGGGTTCTAGTGATAGTAAACAAGTTGCTATTCTGAGCAAAATGTACACATTCTCTTGTAAACAATTTTGTAAGGTGTCCTTCGAAAAGTTGAATCCTATATTCTCTTGCTTGCTTCTTGTAAGATTACCCCATTTTACCGGCTTGGTACAAATAACTGTCAAAAGAATCACATTGTACATTTGTCTAAGCGCGCAATGCGCGTGTAAAAAACTAGTTAATTGTATATGTGGATATGATTTGTTTTGTTGCCTATTATGTTTTTTGAACGTTTTTAAGAAGCACATTACTAATACATAAAGGATGAAGAGTAGTTCCGGGTGGAAATTGAGAACTACGGTATCCAAATAAAAATGGGTACCATATCTATCATTAATTTGTTTGATCTATGACATTTTGTCAATTTTAATTTTCATTTAAATAGTTCAACTACACTATTTTAATGGATGGATGTGGACAAATGTATTGTACTTTAGGCAACAAACACCCCAAAAACTCAATAAGTAATTACACTTCATAATAAGATAATAAGGAAAGTTAACTGCCATATTTAACAAGTACTCTGGCATGTAATTGTAGTTTATACTCCGTATTAACTAGGGAGAGTTGTTCTGAGCAGAAGAGGAAGTGGAAGGCGGAGGGTTGCCAGGGGACGGTTCGAAAGGAAACGGAGGGAAAGGAAATGGGAAGAACGGGGCCGGAGGTGGCGGTGGAGAAGGAGACGGAGTGATTCCCGGAATGGGTGGGAACAATGGAGGGAACACCGAAGCCGGCGGAGTGGGAGGCGATGGAAAAAGCGGCGGGAATATCGAAGGCGGAGACGAAGGAGGCGGCGGGAGAAGTGGCGGAAATATTGAAGGCGGCGGGGATGGGAATAGCGGAGGGAAGATCGGAGCAGGCGGAGAAGGGATAATCGGTGGAATTATGGACGGCGGCGGCAGTAAAGGGTTGGGCGGTATAACCCCAAATGGAGGGAAAATAACAGGCTCAACTTGCTCTAACTTTCCCGAATTAGCATTATTAGGCGGCTCCTGGTTGCAAAGCTCCGGCGATTTGAGCGGCCGGAAAGCGAAAGAGCCGGCTGAGAAAACCACATAGTTCCCTTCTATCTTCCTTTCCATATTATTGAGGCGGATCGGCGATGTGGTCTCCGCCGCCACGGCACAGTTCGGATCGCCGCTGCTTATCAGCGTAACAGAGCATCGTCCCCTGGATTTCTTGGCTACAGAGAAAGGGAGGCGCACCGTGAATTCCCCGCCGTCGGTCGTCTTCACTTCCCGGCGAAAACTTGGCCGTCGCTGCCGCCGCCCCTTACTCCATGCTCTACATTCAACGGCAACAGATGCTCCTGATGATACCGAGCAGAGTTGCAAGCATCAGCATTTCAAACATGGCAGCAAAATCAGTAAAAAAACATTTAAATATAGCTACGTACTGTAATACCCTATTACTCTTATTCACCTAAATAAATATGACTTTACTGTAGAGTACATTGTTTGACACTTTTGACAGTTTTGCACTGTTTGGCGTAGATTTGTGAGGCAAATAAGGAAGTGTAAAGTTTAATATGATACTTCCATAAAAAGGAAAGTGTAAAGATTAATGTGAATCGGAGAGAATATTTATTTATTTATTTATTTATTTTGATATAGCTATTTCGATTCAAAAGAATCAAAACTAATTCAGGCATTTTTTTACTTTCATTTTCCATGAAATTTTTAGAATTAATGGCAATATTACTCTCAAGAATATAGGATCAAAATAAAAGTTCGATTAAGGGAGTGTTTGGTAAATAACGTTTGACCCGAAAAATGACGGGTTGCTTTCCTTTAGCGTTTTTAATAATTGAAAAAAAATGTTTAGTAAATAGTTGTTACGCTGAAATAAAAACGCCACTAACATCAGAGTTTTGGATTGACGTTTTGAATATTGACCTTTTCTACTAATTTTATGACCAATCAAATAAACTGCCAAACATTTTCTGGCAACCCGTCAATTTATTCTGCTAGTAAAACCCGCTGACGGATTCCGCTTTTGACAACCTGCTAACATAATCCGTTATCCGCTAACCGTTGAATACCAAACACACCCTAAGTAATACCCATGTTTGATTCTTCAAATATACTCCGTAATTTATTTAGTCATCCTAAAAGAATAAGTTGATTTTTATAGAAAAAAAGGAATAAGTTGATTAATCTTTTCAAAATCGAGTCAAATAAGTCCTATTTTTAGGAATAAAAAATGACAATGATATTCACAAATCATAGCATCATTTTAGTCTTACTAGAATTTTTTCCTTACCTAATTTGTCTTAGTCCCGCAAATGACCAAATAAAATACTCCGTAGTGTTTAAAAAACGAGCCGGAATTGAATATATAAAGTGCGAAAATGCACTAAGAAGAAATGAACCTGAAATGAAGTGGGTATCACGTCTGGAGGAATGATGGGAACACGTATCATCACAGTAGACAGTGCCCATAAGGAGTGCGACAGACGGAGGATGATGCCGGCCGCCGCCAGCGGCGGCGGCGTTATTCTTTGAAATTGTTATTGAGCATATGATTAAGAACACAATCCACGAAGAACATACTTTCCATATCATTTTTGCAGCAAGAACACAATCCAAACACAATAAATTGAAACAAAGGAATTAATAATAGAAATTGAGTATGATTATTGAATACTCTACATAGGTGGAAGGTTGATTTTTAATGACAGGAATTTTGTTTATGTAGCAGTAGGTAGGGAACGAGAATCATGTCAGTTGTTGTCAGTACAAGGTCCCACTTGGTTCACGAGATGCTTAATTTTTTGGATTATAATTACCCCTCCATGCTAGTAACAATGAAACAAGAGGAAACCGGTGGGCGTAGTTCAACTGGTAGCAAGGGAGTGCCACAAGGGTTAGGTCTCGAGTTTGAATCCCGGCAACTGCAATGAGAGGTTACTATGCTGGAAAAATGCATAGGGCCTCTGCAAGTACCGCGAACAGAGCCTCACTCTCTATCTGTCAGATTGTGATTATAGTCCAATTTACATCCTCCCATCGTGCCGTCCGGTCGGTGTTGGGGGCCCCTCAGGGATGGGGTGTCATCCTTTTTTTAATGAAACAAGAGGGAGTGACACTCAAACTAATAAAAAGCGAGTTATGTGATTGATATTGAATTGATAAAGTAAAAATAAAGTAAAAATGATTTAGAGCCACACAAATTTGATATGAGACAATTTTAGTGGGATAGACCGAAAAGGTAAAATGAGACAATCTTAACGGGACAGAGGTAGTAGAAAAAACTATTGAGAAATAATTTGTTGTACGCACTTATACAGTTTTTTTTGTCTGTAACTAGCAAAAAAATATCTTATAAATGTATGTAAAAGTTTGTACAAAAAGTTTTTTCAAAACTATATGATGGAATTCCGAATTTTCTCCAAAGCAAAGAGAGACTCAAAATGCTAAGCAAAAGTGATTAAGAAATTGGGCAGAGTAACAAGTTTGCACAGAGAATTTCAGATTCATTTTCACAGGTTGAAAAATGATATTTAATACTAAAAAGTATAAAAGATGCCATTTTATAAAAGATGCCATTTTAATACTAAATTAATTTTTTCAAAACTATATGGTCGGTGTATACAATCACTTTCGTTCCAAGGAGATAGGAACGAAATTTCTCCAAAGCAAAGACCACCGCTAGCATTTCCTTCTCGGTAGTGGAGTAGTTCTTTTGTGCTTCATTGAGAGTTGATGAGGCATAGTAGATGACATGAGCAGCCTTCCCGATCTTTTGGCCTAGAACAGCCCCCACCGCATAGTCACTTGCGTCGCACATGATCTCAAAAGGAAGAGACCAATCGGGGCTTGTATGATTGGGGCAGTCACCAATCTCGCTTTTAAAGTGTCAAAAGCCTCTTTGCATTCGTCATTGAGATCAAATTCAACCTCCTTTTGCAAAAGTTTGCATAGAGAAGATGAAATTTTTGAGAAGTCTTTGATGAATCTCCTATAGAAACCGGCGTGACCAAGGAAAGAGCGGATGTCCCGTACATTTGTGGGGTATGGGAGCGTTTGAATCACATCAATTTTAGATTTATCCACCTCAATGCCCTTTGAGGAGATCACATGTCCAAGAACAATCCCTTGTTTCACCATAAAGTGGCATTTTTCAGAATTTAGAACAAGGTTGGATTCAATACAACTTTTTAGCACAAGAGTGAGATGGTAGAGGCAAGTGTCAAAAGAGTCCCCATGGATTGTTAAATCATCCATAAAGACCTCCATGAAGACCTCCACAAATTCAGAGAAGATGCTCATCATACACCTTTGAAAGGTGCCCGGTGCGTTGCATAATCCAAAAGGCATTCGTCGGTAGGCAAAAATGCCAAATGGACATGTGAAGGTTGTTTTCTCTTGGTCCTCCGGGGCTATTGGTATTTGGAAATACCCGGAGTAACCATCAAGAAAACAATAGAATTTGTGCCCGGCTAGCCTCTCTAGCATTTGATCAATGAAGGGCAATGGAAAGAAGTCTTTTCTAGTTACTGAATTGAGCCTTCGGTAGTCAATGCAAACTCGCCACCCGTTTTGAACTCGGATGGGCACCATCTCACCATCTTTGTTTTCAATGACCGTCACTCCGGTCTTCTTTGGCACCACTTGGGTTGGACTCACCCATTTGCTATCGGAAATGGAAAAGATGATTCCCATTTGAAGCAATTTGATTACCTCTTTTTTCACCACCTCCATCATGGGTGGGTTCAATCTTCTTTGTGGTTGCCTCACCGCTTTGGCCTCATCTTCGAGTAAGATCCGGTGCATGCATGTGGATGGGCTAATGCCTTTGATGTCGGCAATAGACCATCTAATGGCCAATTTGTATTCCTTTAGGACCGCGATCAACCTTTCTTCTTGTTATTGGGCCAAGACATTTGAGATAATCACCGGTAGAGTGTGATTTTCGCCCAAGAACACATGCTTCAAATTTTTCGGGAGTGGTTTTAATTCCACCTCCGGTGCCTGCAAAACAGATGGTAGCGGCTTCTCGCTCGGAATGGTTAGTGGGAGGGCTTTAGAGCCCGGTGGCAAAAGTGGGAGTTGATTCAACTCCGCCACCATCATCTTCATGTTATTTGACATAGAGTATTCCAAAGTGAAGTACTCTATGTCGTTTTCAATTGAGCTTAGTAACATGTCTTTCCCCTCAATCTCAAATACATCTTGGACCCAAGTGTCGCAAGTGTCAATTGCAAAAAGAGAGTGATTATCGGTGGGGTATTTCATGGAGTCGTAGATATTAAATTTAACTTTTTCACCATCGAATTCCATAGTTAATACTCCACTAAAAACATCTATTTTTGCTTTGGCCGTTTTTAAAAAGGGCCTTCCTAACAAAATTGGGACTTGCATTTTTATCGTTCTCCATTTCGAGAACATAAAAATCAGCGGGAAAGATTAGATTATCCACCATGACGAGTACATCCTCCACTACACCTTTTGGGTACGCGTTGGATCTATCGGCAAGTTGGATAACAACCCCCATCTCATGTAAAGGGCCTAGCTCTAGGGACTTATATAGAGAATACGGAATGACATTGATTGATGCACCCAAATCTAACATAGCCCTAGAAGAACTAGAATTTCCAAGTTTACATGGTATAGTGAACATTCCCGGGTCACTATACTTTTTAGGCAATTTCTTTTGAAAAACGGCCGACACTCTTTTGCTTACTTGGATTTTATGCTTGCCATTTAATTTGTGTTTCCTTTTAATTGTGCAAAGCTCTTTTAAAAACTTTGCAAACCTAGGAACACCTTTTATTAAATTGAGAAGAGGGATATTTACCTCACATTTGCTGAAGGTCTCATAGATATCATTGTCATTGTTGTACTTGCGGTTGTCCTTGAGAGCCTCCGGAAAAGGTGGCACCGGCTCGTATGAATCGAGTGGTGGGAACTTCCTTTGAGGTGTGATTTCCTCCTCTTTCTCCTCTTCATTTTGAAGATTTGTGCTTGGCACCAAGACATCCTCTTCTTCTTCTCCAACATGGCTCCTTGCTTTCGCCCTAGCCATAACCAATTCCTTGCCACTTCTCAAAGTGACTGCGTGAGTTTGTTGCCTTGGATTCGGCTCCGTTTGAGATGGGAGTTTTGCCGAATCCTTAGCTTCAAGCCTACTCACGGCATTTGAGATTTGGCTCATTTGGCTTTCCAAGTTGTGGATGCTAGATTTTGTTGTTTCTTGGAATTGGGCCACACTTTGTTGCATCGTGGCCATGTTCATGGAAAATGATCGAATCATGTCTTCGGTGGACATGCTCGAGTTCGATGTTTGGCCTTGTTGTTTATATTGTTGAGGAGAAGGGTTTGATTGTTGAGGAGGTTGAGAGTTTCCGTACCTTAAATTTGGATGATCCCTCCACCCCGGATTGTAAGTGTTGCCGTGAGGATCGTACCTCCTTTGACCTTGGAAACCCAAAGCATTGACTTGCTCGGGGTTCTCCTCTTGTAATGTTGGGCAAGAGTCGGTGGGATGCCCTTGTGTCGAGCATATGCCGCAGACCTTGACTTCTTGGGTTTTGGGATTCAAAAGAAAATGTTTTACCAAAGAAGTCAAGTCGGTCACTTGACTTGTCAACCCGTTCACTTGATTTTCCAACGAGTTGTTGGATTCCACCGCCATAACTCGTTTTGAGGATGACCTCCCATTGTAGTGTCTCGAGTTTTCGGCCAACTCCGAAATGAGGTCTCTTGCTTGAGAAGGGGTTTTGTTAACAATACCCCCTCCGCATGCCGCATTTACTATGCGTCTATCTTGATCAACAAGCCCATCATAGAAGTAGAGGATGAGATCTTGTTACGAATATCCATGATATGGGCAACTAGCACATAATTTTTTAAAACGCTCCCAATATTCGTACAAGGTCTCATCATATGCTTGGTCAATGTTGCTGATTTGCTTTTTGAGACTTGAAGAGATAGATGCGGGATAATACCTATCGAGGAAGCTCTTTTTCATTTGAGCCCATGTGTTAATGCTACCCGACGGAAGATAGAAAAGTCAATCCTTCGCGGTGTCTTTTAGAGAGCAAGGAAAGACCCTTAGCTTGATTTGTTCCTCGGACACGACATTGGGGCACATGCTTGTGCACACAATATGGAATTCCGAAAGATGTTTGTTCGGATCTTCCCCCCATAGACCATGGAAAGAGGGCAGTAGATGAATGAGCCCAGATTTTAGCTCAAATGTGACCCCCGTATCAAGAGTTGGAAAAGTGATACATAAGGGTTGTTGTTTTAGATTCGGAGCCGTGAGCTCCCTCAACGTTCTTGTTTCATTAGCCATAATGATTGGTTCTTCGGTCTCGCTAGATTGAGAACTAGCACTTGATGATTCTCCCGAGTCGGAGTTTGAGAATTTGTTTTTCAACCACTCGAGTAGAGTTTGTTCTATTTCGGGGTTTGAGTGGTAGGTGATTTCGTTCAGTGAACGATATTTTACCATATACTACAAAGCTCAGAAGAAATAGAAGTCTTTATACTTGAACCATATTTTTTTTTCTTTTTCTTAAAATAAAATAAAAAGAAAAATTAATTGCCTTTCCCCGGCAACGGCGCCAAATTTGACGAGCACTTTATCGTGTGTGCACTCAAAATAAATTCAATACTAACAACTATACGTAGTATAGCATAGTAGAGTTCGTATCCACAGGGAAAGGAATAACTCTTTTTTTT